TGAATACTAAGGACTCCGGACAAGAGGTGTTCCTCTATACCTTCCTGCAAATATGACCAAGTTGTGAAAATAAGTTCAAACAATATCTATGCAACGAAAGAAAATCGCGACCAAACTAAGGGCCTCACCATTTGGTATTCAAACAATCAAATAAAGCTTTAATTGGAAGAAACATAATGTATGATAAACAAAATTTATGCCTATAGAAAAACATTATTATAAAACAGAAAATTTAAGTTTATTTATCTCATTCACAAAATAAAATACATTAGATTTCATTTTCGGTAAAATCTATCTAAAGGAGTTCATTTTTATTTCTATAAAATTAAGATTTTAATTTTGCCTTATGCTTGTTAACTATAATATCAATGGATTAGCTATTTCTTATTTATTTTCAGAAATTACTCTGACTAGCTTTCATCTGGCTATAATTCTTCCATCATTGTTATATAAAATTTATATTTTAGAATATATGAATGTAATATAAAATTAATTTTTAATAAGGTTAATGTACTAAATTCTTAGAAATTGTCTGGATAAAATTTCTTATATAAGTTTTGCAGGCCTATGATTGGCTACATTTCAGTGCCAACTAGCTACGAATGAGATTTAAGCAGTTCGCACGCAATGGTTGTAACTAGACTGCCATCAATCTAATAATGAAAGGATGAATTTAATTCTCGGATTATAATTAAAAGGACTTTAAACAATAAGAAAAATGATGCCAGAGCAACTTTGGAGATGGAGCTACCCTATTTTATATTTGTTTAAACGGATTTTGACTGGCGCATGCCGGTTGAAATGAGTGTCTGCTGTGTTGCACTTGGAAGAAAGCAAGCAATGATCACAATTAAAGTCCTAATTATGCTGTTCATAACTTTGTGATTGTTTATTTCTAATATACATAGCAAATGCCTTATTCATACAGGAATATTCAGCAGGAATTTAAACATCCCCCAGCGATTTTTATGATTTTGTTCTTTCTAGTAACCTTTCCAGCAATTTTGCCCCACCAGTTCATATTAACGCATCCTTTTAGGAAAAGCGCCTGGCGAGATCATGATGCACTTCCAAATTTGTTTTCTTCCTCCTTTCGTAATCGATGCAAAGTAATATCAGCCGATAAAATGGCAACTAGGAAGCAAGGAACGAACTCACCATCATGCAGCTACGCAGAACTTGCTACAACTCCAATTGATTGTGCCTTTATTCATAGTGCAGCAGAATGCGGATCAGAGATCAACACTATTTCAGGTGAAGTTTGCAGAGAGCCACTACATCCACAGCCAGTAATCCTAAATTCTCCATCACAAAGACGTTCTTTGATGATAAATAGCCCATGCAAACCAACACATTTTGATCGATTTAAAATGGGTCTAAAACGTCTTCTAGACCATAGTACAGTTCATGGTCTGAGTCATGTCTCTACAGCAAAAAGTCGACTCGGTCGAGCAGCCTGGTTTTGTCTCTGGTTAGCTGGGCTAACAGGATTCATTTTTAATATGGCACTAATCGTGGAGCGATATATAAGCTGCCCTGTTTTGATAAATAACATTGAAGATTATGAGACTTTTGAATGGCCAGACTTGACCTTCTGTAACCCTACAACACCTTACGTCCTGCAAAATCCAGAAATAAAAGCAAAGTGGCTTAAACTTGTGGAAAAGGCTCGTCAAACTGTTGATAACTTGCCAAGACATGAGATTTTTAAGGAGCTTGATCAATTCGAATGGAGCGAGATTGCTGTACAGACCCTTGTTTTCTCTACGATCTCAGCGGACGAGTTTAGAATAGGATTGGTTAACGAGATGCTTCATTTTGCAGCTGCTGATGTAGGCAGGCCCGGAATTGCTCTTTCCATGGAAGAAAACGGAAAGCTGATTTATTTGCACTCGCCACTGTCCGACTATGCATATACTCAATTTATACAGAAGCGATTTAACATTCCCTGCATTACATTTCAAGTAAGTACGATAAAAAACGATCATAAAAACTTAAGAGTTCAACAGCATTTTTGTATTTCGTATGCTCTAGTAAAATCTATCTATTAATTAAAGGCCCCAAATAAACTTGCTTTTTTAGTATTCCTGCATTTTATGTTTAAATAGTGATCATCTGCTTGGACTAACACCAATTACAAGAAATAAATTTTGAAAGACTGTAAAAACCCTTAATATGAACAATTAAACTTAATCAATTATTTACATTACTGTTGTATTTTGTGTATCAAAGCTGAAAACTCGGTTCAATAACCCAAGATTTACGCAGAAGGAATCAAAAATAAAAGCTAATTAATTTATTCTTTATGAATTTTTAATCCGAGTAATTACATGATGCTAGCAAATATTTCGCGCCCTAGGCATAGGCGCAAAAAAAGAATTTAATAGATAATATAAAATTATTTCATTCAAGCCCTTAAGATAAAATTTCGATTTTGTACTTAGGTTCAAGGAATCAAACTTCATTTTAGCTGTAAGAGTTAGTTTGTGGGTGAATTTAATTCGATGCAAATGTATCGAAATAAAAAGCTGAAGCAAATTATTTATGATATGGATTTTAACTTAAATTTATCAATAAATCTATAGAAAAATTATTTCCCTAAGCGTACTGGAAAAAGAATTAGTTAAAAAACATAAAAATATAAGTAAAGGATAATAGTAAATGATAAGTTAATTTTTTCACCGATACGCAAATTAAGATAAGTTATAGATATTATTTTATTATTAAAGATAATTTAATTATTTAGTTAGACTTCCTATTTTAAAATAAAATGCGGGAGTAAATTGATAATCCTAATAGGAGTTAGTAAATCATTATTCTAAGGAAAAATTCTCTGGATAAATGTTAATATCAAAATAGCCTTAAATAAAATATATTATTTCGTTTTCATTTTGATGATTAATCGTTTTCTCTCTTAAAAAAGATTTTATTTAATGTCTTTAAAACTCAGGAGTAATAATACATGTATTTTATATATATTTACGATATAGCTCCAAGATATAATTCTACCATAACACGGCATAAAGGGCACTATTACTTTCTTCAGAACATACCACCGCACTAAAATATATTAGGAAGAGGATAGGTCTTTGGGATGATGAGCATTATAAGTTACTTAGATTTTATGCTACCGCAAATTGGTGAACCTGCAAAACAAAAATTTATTTGTAATTATATAAATTAAATCAAAACAAGACCTTAAATTTGTGATATAGAACTATATCGATTAAGTTAAATAGGCATTTTTAAGAATCAACACACATTTAATATTAACACGAGAGGAGGATGAATAAGTGATTTTAAAAATAAATCTACAGAAGATCAAATCATCCAGTCTGTACAGGAAATATCATAAGCCAAAAGTCTCAAGAACTATATCCAATTAAGATTTTGTAAAAATGTAATTTTTCAGTGCATGGACATTTTAAGCAGCAAATAAAGTCCTAACATAAGAACCAGAGTCACTCAAAAACGCTTAGGTTGACGCAAAGAGAGAAAGCCGAATTTCCCAAAGTTAAATGTGTAGAAAGCCCAACTCTGCATATGAATTTCCCTTAGACTTGTTTACCTAAGAGTTTTTTCATAATATGGGCTAGTGGTAACGTGGAATTTTATTCAATATCTATTAACGGTGGCTAAACATACATTTTAATCCAATTATTCACGATAGATTTAGTTTAGAATAAAATTTCGAATAATATAATACAGGAGAAAATATAGCAGATAATGTGATAGCTCCCGGGTGAATGTGCAGAAAATGGATTGATGCTTGGTGTTGATGCAAGTGTTTAAATTGGTAAAAAACGTAAAGAATAAATTTAAAACGAAAATGTAAATATAGGCCAAAATATTGCCGCAGAAGAAAGTAAATCTCATTGCTGGATAGATTCTTCTTCTTGAAAAAACTTAATGATAATTTTTTGGTTATATCAGCAGAAATCATTTATTTTTTTATAAGGTGAATAATTGCATTTTCGTTCAATTAACTTTGATTTAAAAATAAGAAATTATTTTGAATTTTAGACTGCAAAGGCAAAATTTATGCGTATATTTACTAAGTGGTAGTTTTGACATATGCGAGATGAATGCAAAAGCAAAATTTTGTGTGTGCATAATGGCATTTATTCTCACAAAAAATTTAAATAGTTATATATATATAAATAGTTATAGTGTCGAAAAACTACTTAAATACGAAAAATTTAAATAGTTTTTTTCATTTCATAAGGTCAAGAAAATATAATCAGCATATATTTAAGCAGTGGGAAATAAACTAAACAAGTTTTTTCTTGATTAATTTGGATCAGCAAAACAAGCTTATATGATTATTTAAGTACCCAATCTAAGAAATATAAAGTATGCCTTGAACTCGTCCGTTAGAACTGTCAAACTTTTAAAATACGCGTAAGCAACAGGAAAGTCAAAAGGATTTAGAATTAGTTTCTGATTATCCATCAG